AGTGCTAGTTTTTGTCCATTTGTCAAGATCTTTGCTGCTGCTTGTCTGCAATCAAAGGCTTCTTGTCACTACTTGCTTGTACTGAGGGCAAACATGTCAGCTGGGCCTTGCATTACCCACCGGCCACCCCTTTCATAATTCAGCCTTGAACTGCCATTTGCCTCCCCATGCACTGCAGCAGCACGCACATGGTCAGCTAAATTTCACCCTTACTGAAAATACCACTCGACTATCCACATCAAAGCAATACAAACATGTAAATATATACACATACACAAGCATTTGTAATTGTGTAAATTTTCGGTAGAATTGATATGATGACAATACACAAGCACATCAGTAAGCAGAATGATGTAAGAAATGGGCGAAAGGCAAACCAGATGGTGGGGGGAAGGAAGGGAAATGGTCTGAACAAAAAAAGAAGCTGCCAACTTCAGCAGAACCCAACAGCAGCTTTACTTGAGAATAGAAAAGTTCCTCCTTCTACATGTAATGGGGCAGGAACATCTCTTACTAGGAAGTCTAGTCCTGTTCCCCCTGAGCTTCTGTTTCCATACAGACAAATGTTGATCTTAAGAAGGTTTAAGCTTGTGTGAATGAAGTTCAAGGCAAACAAAAAAATCCAGGGTTTCCTCACTGGAAACAGCTGTATAAAGGGAGAGATGCAACTGAAAGTCTGTTACAGGTTCTTTGAACAGGAACACAGGGCAAGACAGGTAAATATAGCATAATAGCAGCCTTATGCTTTGCACTTCCCAGTGAATGCATACCAGAGTAGCGTGGTCAAAAAATGGAAGAAATTTCATTAGGGCTTTGAAGTATGGATTGTGACTGTTGCAGCACTCCATCTGACCTTCAGCAAGTCACTTCGTCCCAGTCTTTCAGTATGTAATTTTCCCTGTTGTGGGGCATGGGGGAGAGCTGAAAGGAAGACTGTTACTAAGGATTAGGAGGTGGCGTGTAACTCCGAGGTGAACACTATACAGCTGACATCAGCAGCAGATGGCTCCAAGGCCATATGAAATGCAGTTGCACAAACTACGTGAGCAGACAGCATACAAGAGCAATCTTGCTAGCTTTAACAAGTCTGGCCTGGGCCTGGAAGAAAAAGCATTCATGCAAGGCAGCTGGGGGCCTGGAGCTATGCTGGTCCCTCGAGACAAAGATACCTACCAGTGTAAGTAAAGTAACTTGGCAAAAGGGGTGGCAAAGCATTGAAGTCAGCTGGGACCTGCAGCCCTTTTGATGGTGAGCAGTAACAAAACAAGGCCCTTAATCTTTCTAGGCTGTTACACTTGCTGTATGCACTTGTATGGTTGCCTACACCTTTTCTGATCTTGAAGTTGTTCAGTTTCTGTACACCTTGGAGGGAGGCAAGTAGCACTGACAGCTTGCTTTGTGGATTGGGATGGAATCCAGTGCATTTTGTCCAATGTGCACTGGAATTCTGCAGCAGAGCAGGTGACTGAATGCAGGATCCCCATGTCATATCTTAATGCTTAACTTGGGGGATGAATAGTCCATCTGCTTAAGCCCCCTGCTTCTGCCACATCTATTGAGGCACTTGCACTCTATGTTTGCAGACAGTTTTATTTTTCCTCTGGTCTGGAGATGAAAGTAGCTTTGAGCAGAAGGACTGGAATGTCTACCTATGGCAATCGTGAGCTATGCAGTTGGTCTCTGAGGGCCAGTCTTGTTTGTATGGGAGCTTGATTAAAGATGAGTGAGAAGTTCTATTCGAGGGAATGCAATACCCTTGTCTGTGTTTAAAATCATTAGCAAGAATGTTCATCCCTATCATGGTGCTGAGTAGCCAGAGCCCTGTTTGATTCACACAGTAGGAATAGCACTTGTGTGCTTCAGGGTTAGAGTCTAATGACAACCAGAGCAAGGGCTGGAGCTCCATTAGTGGCAGAGAAGAGGTTTGAATGTAGTTATCTGAATATGAACTTCATATTGCTGTGACAGGCAAAACTAAAATTCCATATCCAAGTGTTTCTAGGCAGGAAGATTTAAAATTATTTTTCTAAAACATTTCCTAAAGAGTAGGTTGTTTGAATTGATACAGCTTTTGTGTTGTCAACTCAAATCCATAAACCCATAACAAGATCCCGTTTTGGGTCTGAGCCCAGAAAAGAAAGCATCTGTGAATTTTGGGTAAAATTTTGGACTTCTGAAGAAGGTGTATGTGGCATTGTTTCCTTGGCTTTTTTGAAGAAGGTCTAAGGGTTTGAATGTAGCTGTTTCTCATTTTTGTGACTGCTAAGACTCAAAACCTGTTGAATGTTACAACAATGTAGAGAGACATGTCTGAACTCTAGCTCTGCTTGTTGCCTCAAGGTTGTAGTGAAAAGAACCAGCCATGTGTAGAAAGGAACATGATTAAAATGTTTTGTTTTGTTTTTTAAATAGATTGTATGTGGGTCTGAATGCTTTGCCACTGCATATTCACGTCATGCTATGAGGCTTTCTTTAAGAAGCAATTCTGAAGGGCATTCTTGTTCCTAAGGTAGCCTCCATGCATGGAGTTGTCTTCATTTGCTTATAGTTATGTGACTAGTCTCTACTGAGTCTCCCACAGGCAGCTTGTAGGGCCATGACCTTGCTCCTATTTAAAGTTTCAGTGGGGAAAGCAAACCGTGGAGGAGCTGTATGTAGTTTTTGGCAGAGTCTCAGGTCTAGCGTGTACAGGAATCTTTTTTTTCTCATCCTGTTTTTACTTTTTACAGACTCAAATAGAAGTAGAAATGTGTTTTCCCTAAATGCTTGCATGAAAAATGCCCACAAAGGTTTAGAAGACAGCTGGCTGGTGCAAAGTAGCATCTTAGGGGAAGAGGAGTTGTAGTTAGGTCCCTGTGGTACAGTGATTCAGTGGGAAGATACTGAGACACCACTTTTTCAGAAGTCTAGTAAGAAGTTGTTTTCATCCTTTTCTGCTTATTATGCTTCATAAGGGTTAGTTCAGCTGTTCTGACTAAATCTGCAGTCTGTAATTAATTCCAAGCTGGATTCTGGTCTCTTCTTGTCCTCCATGGCTTGGGTGGGTAAGAGCTCAGCTGGGTCCCTTTAAATTTAAGAAGGGGATCTGTTGTTGACTGGTGGTGTGATCCATACAGTACATGTCTTTTTGAGACTGTTTCACTCCTTTGAAGAGCTATTTGAGCTCAGGCCATCTATCTGCCAGATGTTCGATCCTGAACCCCTGTTTCTGATGTGTGCTGAGGGCTGTGAAAAGCCTCTTTCTTGCTATTGTATCTCCTGTAAGATATTTGGTTGTGAAAGGGCATGGCAATAGGTCTGCCAGGTAAAATGCAAGAATTAGACTCGGCGACCTCTGCTTTCGCCATGAGGCTGAGTATGTTGGTAAAAGAATTAGGCTGTGACGGGAGTTTCATAGACTGTAATTTTCTGCTCTGACAGTTCTGTATGCAAAGGATGAGCTATATCCTCCTTGCAGTGAAGTATGGTGGAATATTGATCTATTCAGATGCCTGCATCCTAGCCTTGAGCTAGAGATCTGCTCTGCTTCATATACCTTAAGGAATATGAAGCATTCAGTAAATTCAAAATGGGAGATTGTCCAAGAGGATGCTATGAGGAAAGCAGCAAAATTTGGATACATGTGGGGAAAAAGCATCATGGGTTTTGTTTCTTAAGCTGCATGCCTAGTTCCAGGTGGCCGTTGTCTCTCTTGTTTACTGAAAAACTGCCTTAGTTTCCTAGTTCAGTGAATTGCTTCTGAGAGCGCCACAAAATCTTTCCCAATAGATCTCATTTTAGTCCTTTTGCTTTGCAAATCAGCATATGATCCATGAGTGTGTCTAGGCCAGGAAACAATTAATAGTAAGAAAAAGTACTTCCTCGGCTTGCAGGCAGCTCCCAGCTTGCTCCTTTCCCCAGATTAGAGAGGGTTTAGGAGGCACATGTTCTGTGTATGCTAAATCAGCTCTGCAGAAACCACCGCATACCATCGTCCTGCTCTTATCTCCGTATTCCACAGGCAGGCAATCTCAGCTGCTCAGCGCAGGCTGGCAGCTTTAGCTTGCTGGTAGGTACTGAAAGCCATGTAAGCATGGAAATGACAGTGACACACCGGCTATGTTATCTCCGCAGCGAAGCCGAAGGCAGTTTCCATGGTGATGGAGAAGCTCCAGGCTGCTAGTGATGCAGCTGCTGTGTTGGAGAGGATTAGTAGTAGCCTTTTTATACCGAGACCGCTTTTATGTGTTTATGTGGCCCTCGTTAGGTTGTATCCCGCTCTGGAACATAAAATGAGGGGTGAGGGGAAGATTTGAACTGACTGAAGTGGGTGATGACTGAAAAAGAAAATGGGAAAATAAAGGTGAAAATGTTGTAAATCTTGGAGTATCCACGAGTGACAGATGTATATGACAGCTTGAGTGCATTTGATATTCTGGTCAGTACTTTCCTGAGATATTATGTGCCAAAGTTAATAGCTCCTAAAGTTCTTATTTCCAGTGGGAGACTCAGAGTCATATCCCCAAATCTTAATTCTTCTTCAAAACGTTCCTTCTGAATTGGATCCAAAATCAAAATGGGCCTCTCTTTCTATACTGAGACTAGAAATTCCCAGGGACTTGGGGAAAGTAGATGATCATGCGATTTCTGCATCTCAAGCACTAAAATGTCTTACGATTTCCTTGGTTCCCCTTTTGGGTAATAATCTCTCAGTATCTCAGCACAAGTATGTGGATTCATTTCATACGCTTCCTGCAAGTTCTTACAGCCTGTGCTTTCGTTTTGCTTATTGCTGGGACAGCAGGTACAACATATCCTGATTTCCACACTGAAAATGCACATTTTGCACTTCTGCTTTGATCTTCTACCAACCTGTGTTTTGTGGATGCTGCAGCACATGAGTAGGATTTGTGTGTAAAACTGCTCAATTAAAATAATAATTTGATCATTTTGACACAGGCTTTTGGTGATTTCAAACATTGATTGCTCTCTTCTAAACTAGATGCTGAAAGAGATTTGTATTCTGTCTTTCAGGTGGTGCAGGGGACCGGGAAAAGATGCCTGTCAATCATGAGGCTTTCCTGCTCATGGCTAATTCCCAGAATGAAATGGAAGATTGGGTGAAAGCCATCCGACGGGTTATATGGGCTCCATTTGGTGGAGGTATTGCAAATAGCTCACATGCACATAAATTAAAACATTTGCCTCAAGGTAAAACATATTCTTGTGATACTAGGATATGTGTAACACTGTAAAATCACTAAGATGCCTAGATAAGCTCTTGATTGTCTGAAGTCTTTTGCAGCAAGGGGATTGGGTTGATTTTTTTTTTGCCAGGGGATGGAAGGGAGTAGAAGAGGAGGGCACATACAGACTGTATAACTGACTCTCATTCAGAAATGGGTGGTGATAATAAACATATCACTGTTGTCAATACTTGTTTTTTTTACAGCTAATTATGAGCTGTTCTGTGGACCTTTCTTATCCTTATGGACATAAAGGAGTGTGTCCAGTTATCTCAGTTTTCTATCACAAGGGCAGATGCACATCTTAAAAAGTTTTGCTCCCTCTGGCTGTACGGAGTTTAATCTAACTAACGTAGGACTCAGGTGAGAAGACAGAGGTTCCACTGGCTTTGGTGGGGGTGTAGCCTGAGGAAGAACAACAGGGTCAGGCTAAGTGAACACCTGTAAGATAATACAGCTGTTGACAGTTCCTGTAGTTAAAATGAACAAAAAATCCAGACTCTCAGTGTTGATATTATACCAAAATCTTGAAATTCTCAAATCAGTAGATTAGACAGGAGGTGTGTTTTGGGGGTTAGCATAGAACAAGGGTTCATGGATGTCATTGTTGGTGACAGCAGCTACTGGCTTGGTGTTGGACACTCTATGCTTTGAAGTGACTTACGTGCTACTGATAGAGTTCATGCAAATAGTGGTATCATATGCAGATAGTGATATTGACCTCTTTTGAGAGGTACAGATAAACAAGAGCCAGATAAGGTTTAGGTAATGCAATTAATTTTGCTGAAATGAAGGTACTAATTCTCCTGGATCTAGGGGGAAAAAAGTGACCTTGATGCAATTGAGGGAGGCTCAAATACCACAAGGTCACTAAGAAGAGCCAGTGTTTGTTAGTAATTTTTATCTTGGTGGAGGTTTTTGTTTGTTTTTGTTTTTTTTCTTTTAAGTGACTCTTACAGTTTTATGTCTCTGGGTAGCAGCATTTGGTTTGTCTGGAGGAGGTATAATGATGATGTAATTTTTTCCTAGGTCCTTCTTTCACTTAGCAGAAAGGTGGTATCTGCCACAGGCAGCTTGTACCTGATTCTGAGAGGTTGCATGTGATGCTGTTATGTTGTGGGCAGAACAGGCCCTTTTCTCTAGCAGAAACTGATCTACCAGGATTTCTCCTCAAATATGAGTATGTGCTTGTTTTGCTTTCCTTTTGAAGTCCAGTCCATAATGAAGGGTCTTTTAGACTCTGAGCTCAGTGCAGGTCCCTGCAGTTCCTTCATCAGAAGCCCCAGAGGTGGTATTTCTGTGGCCATTTGTAGTGGACCTTATAGTGTGTATTTTACAGCTTTGCTACGTGCATCAAATAAATACAGTGGGGAAGAAGGAGACATTCAGTCGTAACAAATGGTACACATTCCAGCAACAGTCTCCTCCTTTAGGGCATGATGTTGGCAGCACTGCTAGTATCAGTGCAAATTTCACTGCTTTTTTGTTAGTGTTCATGTTTTGTCTGTCTCTTGGAATAGTTCCAGAGCAAGCATCTTTTTTCAAATATTAAAATAATAAATAATTAACAATCTTAAGATTTTAAAACGAAACCATGAGGACGCATAAAGATAGGGATGGATTTTCTCTTTTCTTTATGGGGTCAGTATTGTCCTAATTAATCTGCTCTTTTTCTGTACTCTAAACTTCTCTGCAAAGCTATCAGATGACTTTTTTTTCCTTTAAATGAGGCAGATACTTTTACTCTTACATTTGATTCCAGGAACTGGGGCCCTATGAGATATCAAAAAACATAAAATGAAATCATGAGAATGTTGGAGCAGGGCAGCGCAGGGGGGGAATACAGCAGCTGCTGTTTGTTGCTGTTTTCACATACTGCAGATTTGATCTGGTTCCATCAGTGTCAGTGTAAAGGCTGCTTTGGCTGTTGGTGAGAGCTGGCTTAAGCCCCATAGAAGTGAAGCACTGCTGTTTGCAGAGTTAGAAAGAATTGCAATTTTGTATTGATGTTTTTTCTCTATCTGTGGATAAAAACTACTTAAGATGGGTACATCCTGGGTGGTCAGCCTGGTTGGAGCTCTTTGCCCTAATACTAAAATGCATAACTCTAAAGCTAGCTTGGCTATGTCTGCTTTGTATTCCAAGCTGCATTCTTGTGCTATGGTTTCATCGCTTCTCTGAGCTGACTGAGTGCTAGCTGCTGTCAGGAGTGGTCTTTTCCCGCCTTGCAACCATGTGTTCCCACCATGTTTCATTCTGCTAATACTAGTGGTTATGCAGCTGTGCAGTAGGAAATGACCTGGCAGGAAAAAAAAAGGGGGGGAGGATTAGTTTGTAGGTGGACTGGCTCCCTGGCTCTGCTAAACATACAGCTGCAGGACTAGTAGTTCCAACCCAATGAGGATGATGGAGTGAAGCAGAGATGATTGAGGTGGAAGAGGGCACGCTTGTTCATTCTGACTGCAACTCACACATAAATTGTCTTAAAGAAACCATGGAGCTGCATCCTCAGTCTCTTGCACTTCACAAAATATTTATAGGAATGTCAATAACTAGGAAATAATTAAGATGTTCAAACCATTGTTTCTGAATGATTTTAGACAGTTTGGGGAAATGATCAAATCTACTCCTTCTCCATCAGAATCAGAGCAGGGCAATTGCTCTGTGAGTGAAATCCCAGCTTAGTTCAAATGTAGGAGGACAGTAAACATAGCTGTCTCTGTGTTTTAATTAAATAATTTGAACTCTTCTTTGCTACCGCCACTAATTTGAGAGCCAAGTCTTATCTATCGACACTTTTTAATATATGAAGCTAAAGGGATGGGGGAAGGAATTAAAAAGCAGGCTTCATTATTAATATGTAAATATCCAGCCCTGGAGAAGGTTGATATGGTGTAAAAATGAATTACGCCAAGATAAAAGGGGAGGCTTAGCCACACTTTAATCTTTGCTGATGTATTGAAGAAACGTAAATCAAAATGGTTGAGGGTATCTTCTTACGTGTTGATGCGGGCACATGAACTATGTTTAAAGGTGAACAGCAAAGGCTTCTTACAACAAAACGGAAAACTCCCCAAAGCTGCTGTGGATCCCAGATTATTAATAGGAGACACATTCAGGCTCAAAAGCCATATGGAATGTGTGCTTTGAAATACACTTCAAATGTGGCCTTAAAATGAAATCCTAGAGTTCCTAAGTCTTTTGAAGAAAAGCTGTCTTGTTTATGAGGAAAATAATTTCTAACAAGTTTCCATAAGTTTCAGGCTCCTGAATTCTTGAGTCTAGTCCATCTCATTTAGAGCAGAAGATTTTGTAAACTGAGATTTGAGAGTGCTCTGTATGTTTTGATTATGTCTTTAAGAATGAAGTTTGTCACAGTGGCTTGATAAAAGTGAGTTTTGGAGCACATTCTGACAGAGGATGATTAAAACTGTTCCCTATGATCTTTCTTACATCCATGATGAACCAATTTTTCTCTGAGTTTACATCACCAGAAGTTTATCTGGAGAGTCCCTCTGTGCCCTAACAGTCATGCTGTTCTGCAGCTGCTCTTTAACATGGAGTGCTTGTAGCAGTGCCATAGCACTACCTGCAAAGTGTTCGTGGCTATAGACTCGGGTGAGAATGAGTCTGCCAGTGACCTCCAAAGGTGGATGCATTGAAAGTGTTCAGCGTAGTAGGTGGGAGAAGAGTTAATTTCTCACTCTGTACCTATGCGTTGAGGCTGTACTTCTAGTCTGAAGAAATACAGATACTTTAAGGAAATCCCTTTCCATCTGCTCACCTCTCAGTTGGCATGCCTTCCTCATTTTTGTGTTGCATCAGATGTGAAACACAATGTGTTCAGGACCAAATTTTGGCCCATGAGGTACAAAAGTTGAGTTTTTTGGTGCTTGAGTTGAAAGCCGTGGCATAATTCTTTCTTACAGCTCAGCACACGACCAGCACCGCATGGGGACAGCATCATGCTGTGTTAATCTTGTGTTATGTTTGTGTTTGTTTTTTTTTCTGTTTACATATTCTTTTTTGCCATGAGCAGTTCTTTGCTCCTCTGCCAGAAATGCATGTCACAGCCCCTTTCTTTCTCCATTACTTTCTCCTAATTTCTCCTCCTCCTCATCTTAAGCTTTCATCAGTTCCTTGTGATGGATGGGAGGTGAAGCTGTTGGAAGGGATGTGCTTCCCTTAGGCAAACACAGAGGGCTTTACCCTGTGACAAAGTAAATTATGCTGCAAGAGCTCCATAAGTGGTTTTTCCATTCAGGAGGAACAGTCACTTTTTAACTGGTGGGCTCTGAAAAAGTGTCCACTGAGAAAAGTCCAGTCCACTGAGTGCACAAGTCCATGGGACCTGGTGAGATGCATCCACAGGTCCTGAGGGAACTGGCAGATGAAGTTGCTATGCCACTATCCATCGTGTTTGAGAAGTCATGGCAGTCTCGTGAAGTTCCCACTGACTGGAAAGGGGGAAACATAGCTCCCATTTTTACAAAGGGAAAAAAGGAAGACCTGGAGAACTACAGGCCAGTCAGTCTCACCTCTGTGCCTGGCAAGATCATGGAGCAGATTCTCCTGGAAACAAGTTCAACAAAGTCAAGTGCAAGGTCCTGCACGTGGGTCAGGGCAATCCTAAGCACAAATACATTCTCAGGCTGGGCAGAGAATGGATTGAGAGCAGCCCTGCCAACAAGGATTTGAGGGTGTTGGTTGATGGGAAGCTCAACATGACCCACGACATGCACTTGCAGCCCAGAAAGCCAACCATATTCTGGGCTGCATCAAAAGAAGTGAGACCAGCAGGTTGAGGGATGTGATTCTCCCCTTTACTCTGCTCTTGTGAGACCCTGCCTGGAATACTGCATCCAGTTCTGGGGCCCCCAACATAAGAAGGACATGGACCTGTTGGAGCAAGTCCAG